TTTTTTTTTTTGGTGGAGAATCCGAGGTTTTCTCCCTGCCCGCCAGCTCCTCTGGGCTCTGGAGAAGTTGGTACTTACAGGACGTGGTCTCATCTTCTGTGGGGCTCCCCAGTGACTCCATCCCTGTCTCCTCTGGGAGAGGCCTGCAGGATAAGAGGGACAAAAACACAGCAGAGAGCAGGAGAAGCTGAGGGGGAAATCATTCCGAGGGGATGGAGACAGCAGGGAAAAAACACAGCCCCAGCTCTGCCCTTTCCCTTTCCCTTTCCCTTTCCCTTTCCCTTTCCCTTTCCCTTTCCCTTTCCCTTTCCCTTTCCCTTTCCCCTTCCCTTTCCCTTTCCCTTTCCTCACCCTCAGGATCTGGGTGGGCTTCCCTCCTGACATCTGCAACCCCACTGACCTCCAAACTATCCCAAGGGATGAAAAACCCAGCCAGGGAACAAATCCTGACCCCGGACGACCTTGGCAACATTTTCCTTTGTGTTATCCCTGTTTTTTCCCTCTGTAGGAGCCCTGAGGGGCAGTGCCAGGCCCTGGGGCTCCTCCTTAGGGCACCCCCTGTGCTCAGGGCTTTGTCCCTGTTCCCTGGCAGTGCTCTGGGATGGCCACAACGCACAGGGAGGGATGCTTTCATCCCGATTTCATCCCAATCCATCACAGCTTTATCCACAAGCACCTTCCCCAGGAAGCAGCTTGCTCCTTGCTGCTGGCTCTGCTCGGGACCCCGGGACCCCAGATTGTCACCTCATCCTCACCTCAGCCCCTGCTGGGGTTTGGAATTGGGTTCGTTCCATGCTAAAATCCAGGCATCAGCACTGCAGCCTCTATTTTGGAGCCACCACTCCTTTCCTGGGGTTTGCAGCCCCTCGTGCTCAGCTCCTGCACCCTCCTGGCTCAAATCACGGCCCCTCCAGCTGGAGGCATCAGCGGATTGAGAAGTTTTCCTTGCTAAAATCATCCCACAGGGCATGGCTGGCACCCTTTGGCAGCTGCTGGAGCTGCTCCTGGCCCACCCCGGGCTCAGAGAAGTGGGAATTTGGATCTGGCCTGTGGCGAGGAACCTTCGCTGTGGCTGAGCCTCACCCTGGGCACTCCCCAATGTTTTTCCCCTCAATTGGAGCTGGCACTTGTTCTGTCCCTTGGAATTTGGACATCTCTTGACCAAACCCCAGCGACTCTACCAGTTCCACGTTGTCAAATCCCTGTTCAAGGCAGCTCCTTCCTGGCAGCTCCCCCTGCCCAGGGAGGAGCTAAAATCCTGCTGCTGGGACAGCCCTGGCGTGGAACTGGGACAAATCCAGGAACCTGAAGGATGAGGATGAGGATGAGGATGAGGATGAGGATGAGGATGAGGATGAGGATGAGGATGAGGATGAGCCTGTGCAAACATCGCTGTCCGGCATCCTCTTGGCCCCGTGACACAGGCAGGGAGGTGACAACGGGGACAGGATCCAGCCCAGCTCTGCCCCGCTCCTTTTCCTGCTGCCATGACACTGGGGCCACCAGCCAAATTAAACCCTATAAATATGTAGATTAAAGGATAATCCGCTGCGGGTCACTGCATATTGATGAGAGCTGAGCACCCCATCAAAGGCACGTGCAGGCGCCCGGGCACTCCGGAGCAGTGGGAAAAAATCACAGAATGACAGAACCAAAAAATTCCCTCCGGCCCCTCCAGCTCCCCCTGCCCCGTGCCCACCGAGGCCTGGCGCCGTTTGTGCCGGGAGCTGGCGCCTGGCACGATTTGGTGACACAGCATCCAGCCGGGGAGGGCAGGGCAGGGCAGGGCAGGGGGGTGAGTACGTGCGGCAGCCCCGGGATCCATCTCCGCCGGCAGAGGAGGAGGAGAAGCCGCGCTTACCTTCCCCGAGGCCGCTGCGGTCACCGCCTCCCGCGGGACTCCTCCTGCCCGGCTGCCAAATTCGGGGGGAGCAGCGCTTTCCCCGAGGGCCGGGGCTTTGCTCCGTGCCCGCTGCCCGGGGCCAGGCCCCGCTCGCAGGGATGGAGCGGGCACGGCGGGATGCAGGAGGGATGCAGGAGGGATGCAGGAGGGATGCAGGAATGGATGCAGGAGGGATGCAGGAGGGATGCAGGAGGGATGCAGGAATGGATGCAGGAGGGATGCAGGAGGGATGCAGGAATGCAGCAGGAGGGATGCAGGAGGGATGCAGGGAGGGATGCAGGAGGGATGCAGGATGGATGCAGGAGGGATGCAGGGAGGGATGCCGGGAGGGATGCAGGGAGGGATGCAGCGCTGGATGCAGGAACGGATGCAGGAACGGATGCAGGAACGGATGCAGGAGTGAGCATGCTCCCGCTCCGCTCCGCTCCTCCTCGGTTACGGCATCCCCGCCCCGGGCCAGCCGAGCCGGGCCGGGATCGAAGCCCGGCGGCGGCGGCAGCGAGGATCCGCCCGCCCCGCTCCTCCCCGGCCGGGCCGGAGCTGCTGCCGCGCTTCGGCTTCCCGGGAAACGCCGGGAATGTCGCCCGCGTCCCCAAGGAGCGGCTGGGTTCTGTTTTCCCGGCCCAGATCTCTGTCTAGCTCTGTCTAGGATGTGGCTTTTCCTTTTTTAATTTTTAATTTTTTTTTCCCTGCTTTTCGGGGCAAGATTGGCTAATGGCAGGCAGGAAAAAAATAGCTCTGCAGCAAATCAGCTGCTGGAGAGCTGCTGTCCCACATGCAGCAGCTTCTGCCCTATTATTCCAAAGCTTCCAGCGGGGAAGCGGCTGGAAAAGGACAATTTATTTATTTTGATTGCGACTAGAGCCCAGCTGGCTTTCCCTCGTTTGCCTGGGGGCTGTTTGGGCTCTGTCTCGCATCATTCCTGCTCGAATCCCTCTGGAGGAGGCTCCTCCCGAGGGCTGTGGCCTCATCCCGGCCCCGCTCACATCCCTCCGCCCCTTCCCGGCCTTCATCTCCAGGGTATTTTGGTGGTGCTGGGGGATTCCCAGGAGAAATTCCCCTGGGAAGTTGGGCCGTGGAGTTTGCTGCTGGCACGGCCAGTGAGGGACAGAGCTCCCAGGAGATGCCCGGGGTGCTGCTGAGGTGTCCCAGAGCCAGACCAGCTGTATCCTGGATTTTCTGCGGAGCTCTGGGACAATGTTTTCCTTCCAACACCTTGAGTTCCCATCTCTGTTCTCTGAGCAGCCTGGACTGGTGGAAGGAATCCCACCTTTGGAAGGGAGACGAGTTTTAAGGCTGCTTCCAACCCAAACCATGCCATGATTCCCATCCACTCATCATCCATCATCCATCATCCATCCATCCATCCATCCGTCCATCCATCATCCATCCATCATCCATCCATCCATAATCCATCATCCATCCATCCATCC